CAGAAATTAAGTGTCTTGGAAAAAAAAAGTCTCCTTTTTCATAAATATATGTTGATTGCATTTAATTATGTTCATGTTACATAGTTACATAGTTACTTAGGGTAYGTGGTAAGTGGATATTCAGCTGTCATTAAGTATCAGAATATATATGATCAGCTGTTGCAGCAGCAGGAGATTATAAAATCAACTATCTTTATAAAATCAACTATCTTAATAGTTTCAGAGCCAGGGACTGTATTTCCTAAGTGCAAATACAGTATCAGGATAAGGGTCTTTAAGTCTGGAAGCCGGTTTCATTAATTTTCAAGTATAGAGCTGTAAATTCTATTAACAAAGCTTTAAATATGGAAACCACAGATATTATAAATTTTTACTTTTTTGGATTGGAAACAAAGTTGTACAAAGAGGTAGGCTAAGTTGCACAATAAATGATGTGTTATCAATTACTTCATCTTTCTGGATAGCTCTAGAATAAGAATGTGATTAAAGCTGAAAATCTACAGTCCTTTGCAACTAAGGCTGTAGATGGACTTGCTCTTCTGCATCTATTTGTCCCAATGGAAGAAGGTATAGCTACATGCTGTTCCTACTCAATCGTACCAATTGTGTTAATAAACGGACGCTGTTATTTAAATGAATCCAGGCTAGCTGGAATCATTTTAGTGGCGTGCATATTTAGTGAAGTGCTAATACAAAGTCTGAGCTGGTAGGCCTGAGGGGTTCCTCTGACACAAGAGTGGAAATGAGAAGTTGGAGGACATGGCAATGGCAGCAGCCTCCTCTGTGGGCAGAGCTATTTGTGGAGTGTCACCTTCAACTGATGTAATGCTTATAGAAGTTACGTGAGACCTTATCTTTAGTTTAACTTTAGGAAATGTGTTCACTCCTCTAGTAATCAAGGGTTTTATGCTACTGAACTTAATGCAAGCAGAGTGTGCCTGAAGTTCAGAAACATGTTAATCTTGGAACTGTTTTAGAAGCAATGATTAATATCTCACTTGTTACGTACCCCCCTTAAATTGACCATTTCACATAAATTGACCATTAATACTGTTAAATGAAGCACTTATAAATAAGGTAGGTATATTTGAATCAAACTGATTCAAATCATTCATTCTAATCATGCTGGAAATCAGCAAATTAAAAAAATGCTGTTTTAGATAATTGATACTAATTTTGTTYTCCATTTGTCCTTGAAATATTTCAAAAAGAAAACATAATTTTCACTGGCTGAAATAATACTCAAAATAAATTGTTCTGCAGCCAGGACTAGGATTTTATCTTCTTTCTTCTAGTCAAGGTTATTTTATATATAAAACTTTGATGGTTTTAATGGTTTGGGCAGTTTTAAATGTTTATTTAGACTTTAATAATCATTAAGAATTCATTACTTCATTTTGTTTCTCCTTATAATTTGTGTCAATTCATCTAGAAACTAGTATGCCTTGCAAACATACAGTGGAATTTTAAAGTATTTTCTTTAGATAACCTATCTTGAAATATTATGGATACTGACATATAATAAAATATATCAAGTAAATTTGGAATGCAAAATGATTTATAACAGGACGCAATTTGTAACAKATTTAAATAGTTTTTGAAAAAGATAGGCTACGTATTCAGAAGTATTTAGATTTTTAATCATATACATGGTGCCTGATGGGATTGTGTAATTCAAATTCAAAATCAAACCATACATTTACATATGTTTAGGTATATATGAAAATCCCATTTGACCACTAGTCCACATTTTAAGTGCCTACATAGTTTAAAAAATACTGCCTTGTATGTTGTTTTTTCTTTTAAATTTCCCTGTTTTTAAGTCACAGTATTTTACTATTAAACCCAAGTAAGCTTACCAAGCTCAAAGGCAAAAAAAAAAAGAAAAAAAATCTTTTTGAGCTAAATTGAGATCAAAAGCAATTAAAGCAAAAACTATCTGCACAGTGTGAAGTACTCATATTTAAAGAAATGTAATAATACAGTAATAAGTGAAAGTAAATTTTTAATGTATTCCATCACATTGACCTCAAATTTAGATATTTTTCCATGACTTTAGATACCTTTAACTCATTGAAATAAAAATTTATTGCGAAGCATTCATGAAAATATTTATTGCTTAATTTATTGTTTAATTAATAAATGACATTATTAGATGAAAGTAGGTTTCTATTGCAACACATGCTATCATAAACATAAATTAAGTACATTTATTCTAAGGATATTTTAAAAATCATACTAAGTATGTAAGTAGGAGCAGATCTACATGAAATATCTATTTTTTATTTGAAAACAATCTTTTTTATCTATTTACCTACAARGTACATTTTAATGTATTCCAATATTCACAAATTTGTTATGAATTCCTGTTAACAAAAGTACATATATTAATTCCCTTTTAAAACAAGTATCTTTGTGTTAGGAGAAACTAATAGAGTCTAGGGTGTGYTTTGTCTGCTGTATCATGCCTAACCACAATAATATATCATTATCCATATCCATTTCTGCTTCTAAAAAATACTCTCACTTTCTTGCATGTGCCAACTACCTTACAAACCAGTATGTCCATTTTTCATCCTCCATGTTCCATTTATATCTTTTCTGACCTGACATCTGGGTGTGTAAGTGTATGTGATAAAACCAAGTCATGGGATGAGTTCTTGCTGAGTTGCCTCACATTTCCATTCAYGGGAATAGTTATCTTCCATGTAGCCTCCAGTCTACGTTACGTGAAAACTCTCCACTTCTCTTCCTCTTTTAGTTGTGGCCAATGAACTCCAAAGTAGTAGTAAAGGAACTCCCTTTAGAAAAGGGAAGGGAGGAGAATAAAGCAGTTGGCATGCAATTACAGGATCCTAATTGCATTAGAAATAAGGCTAAAGACTGTAGTAATACTCCACAAACTAGAATGGTCAAGAAGTTATTAGGCTGAGCAAACATTGTGAGTAACAACATTCTGTATTAGTTTTTATTGCTTTAACATATTCTGATRTTTTAGTGCTTCATTTATTTATTTTCTGATTTTATATTAATATATCACACAAACAGTGAAGCCAATGGTTGGCCCTCAGGCCAAAAGATTGGCCCTTTTAAGATGTGTTGGGTTTGTTATTGTTTCAAAGAATAGAGATTAAGTTATGGGTATGTGTATGTCAGTACACAGAATGTTTTAAATGTTTGTTGGACATAATTGCCTTATATTAGAGGCTATTACCTGAAAGACAATTTTTCTGAACTAATTGTGGTCTTTTCCTAACCACAATTCATGTAAGTAATGCATTGCTTATTTAATAGTGCATGTGCCATAAAGATATGAAATGAGAATTTTGCTTGATGGTTAACATCATCTAAAGCTAATAAGAGTTAATACTGAGAAGGGTAAATTTTTAATGTCTTTCTTATCTCAGTGTTTGCTAACCTTTGCAATTAGATTACTAGCTCAACTAATGTTTGTGATAGATTAGTAAGTGCTTGATTTAAAGTGAGGAAACAATAGACTTAGATGTTATCCAAGATACAAGACGTTGTTCATTTCTTRTGACACAAGAATGTCTTTATATTTACCCAAGATTAAGAAGTGGGTAGTATTAAATTACCGGTTTAGCTAAAAATCRAATTTTGCCTACCAATCCCAACTTGGTTCAGTACAACAGACTTTGTGGATAGGGAAGTAGAAGTGATTTTTATTTTGTCTTAGTGAAACTCTCATAAAGCCTCCCACAACATTTTCCTAAGCAAGGCACTGTAATCCAGATTATATTTGTGTACAGCTGACTGAAGAGTCAAAGATCCACGTGATCTCATAATCAGCGCAACTCATAATTAACTCCTAATCATGATCAGCCTTTGAGTGGGAGTTGGACCAAATCTCATCTGGAAGTTCCTCCCAGCTGTGACCCTAGAGGCTATGATACTAGATTTGCAGTTACCTAACCGAAGTGTAGGAGACGAGGATTATAGTAGATGACACGAAAACTAAAAATTGTATCTTCAGTTTCTTTTTTTTTTTTTTTTTTAAGAAAATTTGATCAAACTATCAGGGGAAAAATTGTTATGAAATCAGACAAAGAAAAACAGCTGTTTGGTAAAGGTGCTTACAATGTTACTTTAGCAAAACTAGTATACGCTGATATAACTTGAGAATATTTGGAATGGGGAGTTTTGCATATATACAATGAAGYGATTGTACAATCAGAACTTATATATCTGTTAATATTAAAGAAGAGTGATATAGTATGTATTAAAAATGTAAATAACAAGCTGTAGGATTTTAAGGTTTAACTATATCATTTATATTCAATGAATATACCTTGTTATATGGAAACGAATAAAGGGTCATTTAAAAGTCTAAAAAATATGAGGTTTGGATAGTTGGAAGGCATAAACCTAAATCCTTTTATAATATTCATTTATGCTGAATTAAAACGAAGAACATTTGGGCTGAATAGCAATGAGCATTGTATTAATTTGATGTTCCCAAGAGAGTCTAAGAACTAAATGAATTAAAACATGTGGGATGCACTATCTATTGATACTTAATCTTTTCCTACCTCTTGTTTTTATAAAAGTTACAACTGAATAGATACTCTCCAAGTAATGTTTATCTTTTCTTCCATGTCAGTAGGAAAAAACACCTTTTCAATTAATTACATATAGGATTTTAGATGTTTTTTTTTATACATTCTACATTGTAATCACAAGAAAATTTAAAAAATATGTGTTATTTCTATTTAGTATCTCAAATGTCTGAAGTTGAGATTTATAGGAATACATTCCTGCATGTATTAACCTATTTATTGGCTCACATTGTATTTTTTATTTTGTACATACTGCATACTCTAAATCTGACTCAGATTTTTGTGCTTTTGTTTTTAGGTTTGGTTTTATTCTTCATAAGGATGAACCTGTGCTCCAGAAAATTGATCTTGAAACTATGTCATACATCAAGACTATTAATTTAAAGGATTATAATTGCATTCCCCAGTCACTGGCTTATACACATCTTGGAGGGTATTTTTTCATCTGCTGTAAGCCAGATACCACTGGGGCTGTTCTACCACAGCTTATCCTGGATAGCGTTACCGATTCTGTGATCGGATACAATGGTGACGTGACCGGCACACCGCACATCTCTCCCGATGGACACTACCTTGTCAGCATCGATGATGCAAAAGGTCTCATGAGAATCCAGTCCATTACGATGAGAGGAGAAATACAGGATGCTTTTGACATTCACACCAATTTGCACATATCTGACGTAGCTTTTCAGCCATCATTCACTGAAGCCCATCAGTACAACGTTTATTGTAGCTCCAGTGCACAGACTGATGTTCTCTTCGTAGAGCTCTCATCTGGCAAAGTTAAGATGGTGAAGAGTCTCAAGGAGCCTGTCAAGGCAGACGAATGGCCTTGGAACAGTAAGAACCGTCTCATAGAAGACAGTGGCCTTTTTGGTCAATATCTCATGACCCCTTCCAAGGAATCTCTGTTTATCCTGGATGGACGGCTCAATAAGTTAAATTGTGAAATCACTGAAGTTGAGAGAGGCAACACAGTTGTTTGGGTTGGGGAAGCATAAGGATCTATGTTAGATATTTACTGAATTGATAGTTTTACAGTACTTTGCACTTAAATTACACCATCTTTACAATTTACAGAATTTCATTTTAAAATTTAGACCCTTCTATACCTCTTCTTTGACTTAAACATAATTTGAATCAACTTTAGCATAAAAGTTCATTAAAAATGGTTATTTGATAATGATATTCTTTATTAACTGTCATCTGAGATTGTGTTAGTTGACTGGGATTATCAAATGTTGAAATTGATGATCATTAAATTGTACTTATTTTAAAGAGTAGGAAAAAAAAGAAAGCATAAAGCTTCAGGGAATTTATTACCCTTTGCATTTCTGAAACAATGGCTTAAATATGACTCAAATTTTGATTTGATTTGCTTCAGACACAAAAAATAAAGAGATATTGTACAACCTTTGACTCCTTAAACTGAAATGTTCTTTCCAGTCCAGTCCACTGTTTAATCTTTTTGTGCCTTGAAGCGAAAGCCTCACAAGAAAGGTAAAGCATAGAAATTGTATAATTTATGCCCACTGGGGCTACAGGATTGCTCATCATTGGAGAGAAACTTTTCTTATCAAATTTRTAGTCTCGACTTGTTGAACATACAAGGAGAAAAAAAAAGAATAATTATATTTGCAGCGCCGTCTTTAAAGATCACTGCAGTTTGAGGAGTTTGGCTGTTATGGTGTCTCTTAGTTCGGATACAGTCAGCCACTTGTAGAAGCTTAACCTTTTTTTAGAAAAAAAAAATGGTGTTAGCATTTCAGCTATCACAGGGTGCATTTTAATAAACTGGAAAATGAGAGAAGTGAAGTCTATAACTGATGGATAACATTTTCACGTATTCATTTGTTCATTGACCCGTATTTGTTATGTCAWCTGGTTAACTCAACAGATTTTTCATTCTATGCATCCAATTGGATTAGTGCAAAAGCAAACAAACAAAAAATTGTATTTTTTGTAGTTTGTCAGCTTAGTATTCTAATTTTAACAATGCTTGCACATCTAAATGGGAATAATAAGATTCTCAGAATAACGCTAATCGATAGAACCAGAAAGCCAGCAGTAAAACAACTTTCCAGGCCTACAGCAATGATTTAAAAGTTTGGGGTTATTTTTATTATGTTTTTTGTTAAATAACACTTATAAGCTCTTAAACTGACCTCCATTTACTAAAGGCAATCAGAAAGAAATATCTTTTTTTAAATAATATTTTACTCCAGTTTAGTTTGTGTAAAATTGCTTAGAAATATGGAATTTTCTAGCATTGTAAATTTGTGTGTATTTAGCATCCTGCCCTATGTGATACGGTAGATCTCTTTAGCTTGAGCAAACTTCCTGGTAGATAGATTTATCTACAATAAAAGTCTGCTTACATTTCTAGCTGCTGAATCTGTTTTCCTTTTCAACAGTTTTTTCCATTGTGATCAAACAAGAACCATGTAAAACAGTCTGTTACTCAGTTACTTACAGTAGTCTGTCTCCTGCATTTTTATTCTGTAACTTACACCATGTGGATGTTCTGTATGTAGATAATGCTTGACAAAAGGAGAATAAACCCCATAAGTTTTAAACACTCCTGACTTTGCTGAATAGTCCAATGTAGTCTTGCTCAAACGGCAGGTTACACTGGTTTTATGTGAAAACAGTAGAGGGAAGTTTGTCTGTTTTTTGTTATCTATGTGTATAATAAGTAATATGCTATGGGAAAAAAAAATAATTAGAAGAGCTTAACTTACTGGGAAACTTTCCTTTGGTTTCTACACAGAGAAGGTCACCTATTAATGAGTTAGGCACAGAGTAATGAGAGTCTAAACAGACGTCCGTTCGCATGACTGCAGCTGGAGCTGAAATCCTCCAGTACAGAAGCAGTATAAGCAGATAACCCAGAATCAATAACCACGGCTCTCCTCTAGCACAATTAAACTCCTTATGCAGCCCGCTAAGTGTAATGAATATATGTTTACTTTGCCTTCCCTTTGCCTAATTATTAACAGTAGAGGAATGAGATCTTATGACAGTAATGAAATCCCCGTGACAGTGAAAACTCTTCTGCGTCATGCATGATCCCCTGAGTATCTTTTCTCTTTCAGTCCTCAGTTTTGGCAATGACCTTTTCCTGAATTTTAACAGCACTTTCTTAATTTGTTAAAGGCTTATTGACAATTCTTTGTTTTTGTTTTTTTCAACTATTGCAACTGAATAGATCAAAATACATTTTTTTTTCTATTTGTCATAGATTTGCAATAGTTTCCAGAAGTTTCTAGTGTCCAGGAGTGGTTCTGATCCTGTTGAAAATGTCTTCATTTGTCCAAAATTTCCCTTAGCACAAACCAGGAGGCAACAATAGTTGGCTTCAACTCCTGTTTTTTCTGATTGCTGCAGAGATTCAGATTGTTGCAGAATTTATTTTTAATTTATTGTAATTTTATTTCAGGTCTCTTATAAGCCTTTGAGATTTAGAATCTGCTTACAGAAATAAACTAAAGTATTTATTTCTTTTCCTGTAATCAGAACAGAAGTCGAATGTACATGACAATTGAATTCCACTAAAGTTACTGGACGATCATGCTATGTTCCTGTGCTGTAATGAATTTGGGAGAAGCACATCTACAGGATATGAGGACAAGATGGAGTGTTTTCCACCAGGGATTTCAATGATGAAGCTTCCTTTGCTAATATGTGCTAATATATTCAAATAAAAAGTATTTTATAAGCCAAGAGAAAGGACTATCAGGCTGTTTTTAAAATTTCTACTGGAAAGTAAAAACAGTATCAAAGAAAATTATATTTTTCTCTTCCRTGTGGCAGTAAACACTTATAATATTGTATGCCTGATGGTATCTTTAAACTGCTCTTCTGCTAATAATCGGCTAAAATATGTGCTGTTCTTCTGTGTTCATCAAACAGTAGGGATGAGGAAGAGAAGGGAGACTTTTTGAAAACTCCTCAGTTATAAAGCAGTGGAGATGCTTATGTCAAAATACATTTTTGCAAATTTTTTGCTTGTTTTCTGCATGGTATACAGAGTATCACCCTCTGCTTTCATTTATATACTTTGAGACTTCTCAGTTTATAAATGTCAAAGTGTGTGTGATTACTAATTAAGTTCCTGCACAAATAGGTAAACTAAACTGAAAACAGCTGCTTCAATGCATTTAATTATAGCTGCTAGCAGCTTCCTTGATACTCTTTTCCAGACTTCAAATATACTAAAAACTGTCTTTGATGTGGTTAAATTAACTAATTAATATTTGTTCATAAATACTTCATGCCTGTGGTCATCTCTATATACTTGTTCCAATTTCAGTTCAGCCTTCGTGAATACTGGTGACCAGATTAGAAACWTTGTTCTGAATAAGGTGAAGAGTTGGAACCCAGTTTGTGGTTTTACTCATGGCTCTTCTTTGCCCATGAGGAACTGTGGGGAAAAGCCTTTTCCAGCCTGGAGACAGCTTCAGGGAGACCCAATACCTGGTGGCCAATACTGCAGGCTCTCAAGAAGACCAAAGCCAGAGTCTTCACAGCAGGGCATAATAAGTTGAAACATGAGGTCAAACTGCATATAAATAAAAGCTTTTGCACCATGTCAAGCATTGCCCAGGTTGCCCAGAGAGGTTGTGCAGTCTCTGTCCTAGGAGGTTTTTCAAGGCCTGTCTGGGTAACGCCCAGAGCAGCCAGGCTGACCTTTGGCCGAGCTGGTTTTGAGGAGCCTCACGAGGTCCCTTTCAGTCTGAATCATCCTGTGGTTCTACAGGCCTGACTTAGGGATGGAAGAAATAGCAGTCTTAATTTATTTATAAGGCTTCARAAAGTAATATGTTTTATCATTTGTAATCCATAGCTCTGAGCATCTCATCTTAAACCAAGGATGTTGTCGTTTTGAAATCTGAAATACGTTTCTTGGCTTCCAGGGAACCCAAAGCCAATGATAGATATTGCAAAAGATGCAATACACAAAGGTAAGTGCCTCTTTCTAAATAACTGAGGAGTATTAATAACATTTGCACATACATTTCGACATTTGCAATAACAATTGCTAATCACTTTGATATAAATGATTGTTATATCTGTAGTAATCTCTCCAAAGGAAACCTTTCAATGTAGAGAAAGTGCTGTTTACCTCTGATGAGTTTATGTTTTGTATCTTGCTTTTTTTCCTGAAGAAACATACTGATGACTTTTACCTTAAAGTTAGCAACAAAAATGTAGAATTTATGTGGAAAATAATGACATATTTAAATATTTTATTGTTTATGAGCTTTAACTCATCAGTGTGAATTAGTTTTTTTATGCATACAGTTGCCAAAATGGAGAAAAGAATAAACTTAATTCTGCAGCTCAAAATCCTAATCTCATCCAAATTCAGTCACACAAAAAAAGACAGAACACATTACAAAAGCTAGAGGAAAAAGTCATTCAGAGCATGAATGAGAGTTAATCAGCCAGCTGGAATATGGAGTCCAGCAGTCAAGCACCTTTGCATTTCTGTCATGTGGACAATGTTTCACCCACTGCTACTACATTTTATATAATATCAGAGTGGAAAAGACATTTCTCTGCAGTTACAGTACTAAATGGAATCACAAGACAAATGACAAAATTTTGAAAAAGTGGGTAAAATCCTAGCTCTGCTGGTATTAGCAGTCCTTTCATTCCTGTATTAAGGAAACACTAAAATGGGTATCTTACACTTGCAGGGCAGAGGATGATTGCATTCCACTGCATCAGTAGTTAAAATTAACTTCCATATTGAATAAGAAATAACCRTGTAGAAATAACTCTTCAGAGAATGTGTTAAGATGCCTGTGCTCAAAACAAAGATATACTGACAGTAATTCATATAAAAATCCATAAGCAATGTTTAAATATTTCACATGAATCTGCCCTGTCACCTTTTAATGAGTTAAATGTTCTGTTAGGTGTGCTGCTACTTTAAGAGTGATTTTAAAACTATCTTCAGAGAGTTATACGTCACCTAGTATGACAACTTCAGTTCCTGGTAAAAGAGGGAATGATACTGAGACTGCCTCTTCCTATTTAGAAGTAGTGCATCATTTCTTCTTMTAGCTATGAATAGTAAAATTGTTCTTATTTTAATCTACTAAATTGAAAAGCACTTGTTCTTAGTAATAATGTTCTTTAATCTTCTTGATGATAGTGTGCCCTCTATCTTTCCATAGGGATGGGCAACAGTTCTGTCATTTCATAAAATTTCTTTTGATCTTTTTCTCTAGTAATTAAAATTTAAGTGTCTTCCCTCTTTTTAATAAGTGTGTTTTGAACCTATGTCAAATAAAAAAAAAAAAGAAAAAAAAGAAAGACGTTTTGCCAATATTTGTCACACAGATAAAAGGAAATAAGTAAAACCATTTCACCTAAGCATTTCATCTAAGCATCTCCTTGGGGTTTCTTGTAGTCTTTTACAACAGAGTACTTTATCCCAACTGGCTCCCTACGTATTTYCACTAACACTTCCCTCCATTTTATTTACTGCAAGCTTTCTATATCTTGGTTAGAACAAATTCACAGCTTAGCCCACACCCAGCATGTTTTAAATAGGAACATATGTTACAGAGAAGCATAGACAAGGGATCTGATGTAAATAATATGTCACAATTATCATCATATTAAAATAGTAAGGATGTTCTTTTAGTTTTGTGAAATGAGGCTGCAGTTCTTCCCCCCATAGATTCTAGTGCAAGGTGTGCCATGTGAACACTCTCTTTAAGAGGACAAAGTAAAATGAAATGAAATGAAGTAAATTGTGCCCTCATTCTCTTCTTTTCATGAACAATTATGTATAAGACAGAGTAAAGTTCTGATTGTAAACAGATAAAAGCAAGGCAAAGTTTCCTATGAAGGGATAATATTGTTTGTTAATTAATTGTCATAGTGTGGAAAAAAAAAGGAAGAAAAAAACTTATATGTGAACAAAGCCTGTCTTTGGGGAAACCTAAATGTACAAATTTACCTGAAAAATGAAGATCTTATTTGACTAACTTCTTGTATTCCTCAGCTGTACCATGAATTTAATAAAAAAAAACTACCCCTTTCCCACAAAATTTTCTTTGTGAATACAGATATGTGCAGTAAGCCATATTAGAGAATCTAATGATATAGCTGGTATTCCATAGTATATGCTTCTGGTTTYCTAATATATATAATTATATTAAAATTAGAAATATGTAATTTTATGTATGTCAAAGATTGCATATCCTCAGTTCAGCAAATGTGAATGTTCTGCAAGATTTTTGTACTGTAATACTGCTATTGCTTTATTATCTAGAATGAGTTTTGGCATCAGATCAATCCTCTCTTTAATTAGAAAACTGATGTATTTTGATGAACTAATATACTCCATATGATTTAGAGTTTCAATTTCTAAATGTAGAATTTCATAGACTGCAACTGATCGT